TCTCCCTGATTACTGACATCAACAAAAACACATTTGTTAAGATATAATCTTGCCTGTTAAACTTGATTTTTCTCTTAAACTCCTTTTTACTAACTTATACAAAAAAAGAAAGAAAGAAAGAAAACTTTCTTAGGCTTATGGATTTGAGAATGAAATGAGCAGGTTGAATTTGCAAAAGTAGTAAACAGTTGTCAGTAAAAATACACGACTACCTGTGATATATTAAAGATATGTTTATCTGACTATTTGGTGAGATTTAATTGTTATGGACTTGGGGGGTTTAGTGTACAATGATGTACAACATGGTCATTTCATAATTTTACTATTAGTAATTATCAAACTTAGCTTAATTGAATTTCTGTTGGGATGGATTTCCATGCAGTAGTAATCTTATGATTAAGACAACAGTGTTCTTCATGAGATCAATTAGTGAAAATTTGAATGAGTTATTTTCTTATTATGAAGGATTAATTAATACTCATATTTTTCTCTCTAAATTAAATCTCATCAGAGACTTGATTCTTTCCCTGAGGCATTTATAAATTCATGAATACATGTATATGTTGTTGCCATTTGCAATTGGTGGACATCATTAGGTACAAGGTAAAGAAGCAGTCATTTGAGATCTTACACTTTCTCAGGTCAGGGAGACGTGGGTGGGTACGAGGTGAAGTGTGGGAGGCTGCTGTGAGAGTCCCAGATAATCTTTGAGGAGAGAGCTAAGTTTTAGAAGCAGCCATGTCTGTCTTGCTTTGTTTCATTTTTCTCTTGTTCCCCCAAACATAAAGTCTTCTCTAACTTCTAAGAGAGAGTTGTATACCATTGGTTTGGCTTATGGTGGAAATTTTGCTGGTTTACATTGACTTCTAGTGAACATCCTCAGGACTTGGTATTTTCATACTATTGCGTTAGTACAAGCCACAGGTTATCAATATGAAAGTTTAAACATTTAGCCTCCTGGGGACTAGATAACAAGCAATTTATTACTTTGGGTTCTAAGAACTAGTATAACTGAACAATGTTAATTCTTAGATTGTTGCCCTTTATTTCTGAAAGAAAATATTCTTTGTGGTCATTATCTGAAGGCATCCTTGTTGCTTTTATCCACTCTCACTCAGTTCAGGATAAAATGGATATGATTGAGCCATGATTTGGGCAATTAATGGAAGTTTTTCCTATTTTAGTCTTTTCACTAGCTTCCCTGAAAGATTGGGTTTCTAAAATGTCAAAAAGAAAAGTACAGTAGACTGTTTATTTACAGTGCCTTCCCTTAGTCTATTATCCAAGAGCTTTCAAGTTTTATAAGTCATAATAGAATTCTTTTCCATCTTCTGTTTTATATGTTCAACAAGCTAGGTCTTTGCTCATAACCAAAGATGTCTGCTTTTCCCTAGAACAAATCTTTTACCTGTTAACTTGGAAAATCCAAAGAATCAATACAAGCTTTTTTCAGTTCATGTTGCTGCACAAAGGAAACAGAGTTATTACCCTTAAAGAGAATCCCAGATGCAGTCTGCTGGATGGAGGGTTATGACCCCATGGAAAGCTAAACACTTCAAAGTAACTGCTCTCCATCCACCATAATCAGTCTGGAAAGGTACAAAGGATTTCTAGGTCTAAGCAAAACGCTTGTCTGGGAACATTGCTTTTGCCTTTAGACTGCCTGTCACCATTTTGCCATGAGTAATTTTCTATTTTTAAACCTATGTTTTCAGATAATTTAGTTTTAAAATTATATTTACATTTTTAATATCCTTTAATGAGCTTATTTCTTTGGTAGCATAAACCTAATTAGGAGTCACACCAGGGGCTCTTTTGCTGTGGATAGTTCTTTCAATTTACACCGGATCAAAGATTGCTGGGCCATGAGCAATCTGCAGATCTGCTTCTCTGCCTCCTAAACTATTCTAGTCAGGAGGTTTCACTATTTAGGAGTTTAAAAGGTCTCTGCAGATGACACTGACATTTCGTCTCACAGAGAAAAAATATATTTTGTTTTCAAAACCCTGAGTGTGTAGAGATGGTGGTACTTTTATTTTTCCTGCCCCACACTCCACCAACAAATGTTCGTATGACAGACAATTGAATTCTGCTTCGATTGAAGCTAGTCATTCTCAGGAATTAGGATCATCACTGGATTTGCACGAGGAATCTAGTGCACTTTTTTACAGATCCTTTTATTTGGTTCTCGTAATTTTAAATCTTCCTTAATTTTATTTCTTGCTTTTTCCAGTTATTCGTTTCACATTACTTTTGCCTCAAGTACCACCATGCTTTAACAAAATGTGCCAATGTGTCTTTTTATCTTTTTAAAGGCCTGAATTTTTAAACATTGCATTCAAAAGAACCTGACAAAATAATTTCTGTGCTGGTCCATTTATCTGCCTTAGATGGATAACAATGCGGAATGATTAAGTCAAGTTAATTAACATATTTATTTTTCTTATCAGTTGTTTTCTGTAATTTGTGTATGATGTACTTAAGTGAGGTTTTATTTTGTGTTTATCCTCTTGGAATTCACTGAGCTTCTTAGATATGAGGGTTGATTTTTTTTTTTATCAAATTTAGAAAAATTTCCTTTCTTTTCCTTCAAATATTTATTCTGCCTCAATTTCACCTTCTGTCCTTTTTGAGAGCTCTAAGTACATAATGTTAGACAACTAAGTTTTTGTACATTTAAAAAAATTTTTTTTCTTCTGTGCTTCAGATTGGATGGTTTCTATTGCCCCATGTTCAGGTTCATTGATCTTAATTTCTTTGTACTTAAGTGAGGTTTTATTTTGTGTTTATCCTCTTGGAATTCACTGAGCTTCTTAGATACGAGGGTTGGTTTTTTTTTTTTTATCAAATTTAGAAAAATTTCCTTTCTTTTCCTTCAAATATTTATTCTGCCTCAATCTCACTTTCTTTCCTTTTTGAGAGCTCTAAGTACATAATGTTAGACAACTAAGTTTTTGTACATTTAAAAAAAATTTTTTTCTTCTGTGCTTCAGATTGGATGGTTTCTATTGCCCCATGTTCAGGTTCATTGATCTTAATTTCTTTTTTTTTTTTTTTTTCAACATAGTTTCTTTGTTTCTAACTCCTTAACTTGGAAAATATTAGCAAGTATCCAAGGCCTAAATAAGGAGGGGTATTTTAGACCAGGACTGTGGTGTACCTAATAATTCTCTTTTTCGTTAGTTTTTTAATGTTTTAATTTTTTGTTGTTGTTGAAACATAGTTGATTGTATGTATCTTTGGGACATAGATTTGAATATCAATAGCTGTGTGCAATATGTGATGCTCAAATCGGGACAATTAGTATAACCAACATTACACTGTGTAATTGTTTTTCGTGGCCTTTTACCAGTTCCTCTCTTACCTCCCTTCCCCCTCCCCCTTTCCCACCTTTGGTAAACCTCAGCTCTGTTCTCCAAACTTTTGTTAAGCACATTCAGTTAATTTTTAATTCATATATTGTGTGTTACTTGTTCTATTTAAGTGTTAACTGTTTAAAGTCACTGGTTGCTAATTCCAACATCCATGTCATCTCTGTTTTGTTTTGTTTTTTCTATTGACTAGGTTTTTACTCCAGATATTGGTCTTATTTTCCTCCTTCTCATATCTAGTTTTGCTTGTTTGTTATTTTCTTCATACCGAGCACTGTGGATATTATTTTATTAAAGAGGCTGAATTTTGTTGTCTGCAAGCACAAGATAATATTCAGCCCAAGATTCAAGGGAACCCCTATGTTGACTTTTAAAGTGACATCTCCATCCAGCCCCCTCATTTCATTAATCTTCCCCACATATTTTAACTACCTCAGTAGTCCCAAACTGAGATGGCTGTTTCCTTCACCTGGTGCTATGTCTTTGGGATCTACCCCTCTGTGATGCAGTTTGAAAACTGTTCCCAAGCAGGCAGAAAACTAGATTGAACATGGAGCTCATATTAATGTTTCCCTACTTCCAAGAATCGGATCACTGCATTGTCTGCTGTCCAGCATCCAAAAACTGTTGCTTTATGTATCTTATCCGTATTTATAATTTTTACTATAGGAAAAATAAAGCTGCTATTCTGTTATGGCCAGAGACAAAACTCTCTGAAATTCATGTTTTTCTTTTATAACATAAAAAAAAATTATAGAATATGCTTGTTTAACTCCTCATATCAAACTACGGTTTTATGGGTTTTTTTTTTTTAATGTATTGAATTTTCAGATTAATGTGAGGAGAGTTCACATATCTGTATTGGGTTTTCTTGACAATTAACATGATTTATTGGACTTTCTTAAAGGTCTTTCAATAAAGCTTAAAGTTTTTACATATTACATCTTACACTTCTTTTGCTGTATTTATTCTTAAGTGCATTCTTCTCATTTTTTTGGTATTGTAAATAGTTTCTTTTTTGAATTTGTTGTTGATACTTAGAAATGTAACTGATCTTAATCTTGTGGTTAAATTGATATAAATTAATTTTTTATTAATTATAAAAAATTTATATTGAACCTAATTATATCACTGAACTCTCATTAATTATCATAATTTGCATCTAAAATATTTTGTGTTTCTTTATTTGCAATCATATCATTTACTGCTAATAACAGTTATTTTTTTCCTCTTTTTTGATCTTACAACATTTATTTATTTATTTACCTATGTCTTAATGCATGGTATTCAGTGTAATAGACCTACATCTGAATGTCTGATTGCAGTACTAATATTCATATTTGCTACAAGGGCAATCTAGGATTTTGAGTTATCTTACAGCTATGCATTGCAGATCTGGTTTTAACTGATTCATTCTTTATTTTGATCTTGCAGTGTTTTTTTTACTTTCCATGAGTAAAGCAATGAAGTAATAAGTTTTTTTTCTCTCTCATATCTAGATATTTGAAAGTTAGATATCTGTCTATAATAATGGTAGAAGTAGATATAGGTCTATGAAAATAATTTTGGTGAAAAAAAATTCTTTTTGAGAATGATTTTTTTTCCTAACAATAATGATCTCTTCCTTAGGAATTGGTGTGCTTATGTACATACCAGATTATCTCCTACAGTGATATTGGACAACCAGGTCACTTATGTTCCAGGTGGAAGAGGACCCTGTGGCTGGCCCAGTGGATCCTGTCCTCAGAGGTATGTAATGTTTCTTGGAAATAGCCATTGCTAGCACCATAATCATTGTGGCCAGGAATATATAAAATTAGTTATCCTAGGTACATATGTGTAGTAGTGTCAGGGGAGGGTTATTACATCAGACTAGGTGTATGATCTTCAGTAAGTTAAAGTACAGATACTAATAATACTCTCCTCATATGGTTGTTTTTAGAATCATATGAGATAATGCAGTAACATACTTAGCCTAATGCCTGGTGCATTGTGAGTGTTCAATATATGTTTAACTCTCATGCTTGTTTCTGTTTTTACTATCACTATTTCTTTTATTCTATGACCTAATCAACAATTCTGTTCCTTAATTTCTTAGGAAATTCATATACAATTTTGAAGATTTATTGATAATTTTCTTTTCATACTAGATCAAAGAGAAGTTCATAACTTGGCTCGTACTCTAAAATTTGGAAAGCCACTAATTGCAATTATGTGTGGTAAAGCAGCTGAGTGGGGCCTATCTTCTTGTGTGCATTTTAATGACCCATGTTATTTGGTTTTTATCTTTTAAAAAATCTATGTGATTGTCCTACAATGTGGGGCTGAGTAATTGATAAATTATCTGAATTTATATAGTCACAATAGCTCAGCTGGGGATGTTTCTGAAGAGCCTGCAATAAACATAAAATTGTTATTCAGCCCATGATGGCTAATGTTATGCAAATTGTCATACAAATAACTCAGGCAATGAATCTGACATATTGACAGTCTGGAACAGTGCACAATAAGGATACATAAAATCAAGGTGTTTCTTAGTCCCTTGAGGAATAACTAAGGTTCATGGTCCAGAGAGCTAAGCACATCTTAGGGATTTGGGAGAACTGAGCTCCAGTTCTGCTTTCAGCATGTACTCCCTTTGTGACAGTTTCCTTGTCAACATGAGACACAAAGAATGCATTGTTAATTCTTTAGTAATGAAAATATTACCCCAGTAACCCATATCATACTGCCCTTGTAGTCAAGGTGAACTCTTTTGTTTTTCCTTCTCTTTAAAATAACCAGAAATATTCTACTTTATTCTCATCTCTTATCTTTTTACAACTTTGAATATGTCTCTCTATTCATTCACTATTTCAGTACTTATGCAATCTTTGTCACTTTTTCTTTTATTACCTCTGCACTGCATACAACAGATACTCAGTTTGCCAAAGCAGGAGCACTGATCCCAACAATAACTCAACTAAGTGCCTGAGCTCACCCCAACAGACTCTAAAAGTCCCTTTTCAAACTGCCTCACTTCTTATGTAGCTTTATCTTTTGGACTGGAGATGATATTTTACTGGACAGAGTTATTTACTGAATATAATTTACTAAAATAAATGTAGATAAATGATTAGTGTGCTTTTAGAGATGGAAAGAATCTGATAGCTCATTTTAAAACTGAGGAATAACCTTGGACATACTGAGTTACCTGTCACGTGATTGCAGAAACTAAAACCCAAGTCTCCTAAAGCCCAGTCTGCTACAGTGCATTTCCTCCACATAATCAGGGTTTACCCACTTGGATGACTGTTGTCCCCACATAATTGTACGTGATAGATTCTAGAATAATAACATGAGAGGCTAACCTACACAACATGGGGTAAAAATCTCAGCTCTATCACTTTTAGGTATGGGACTTTGAGCAAGTTATTTCATCTCTCTGTTTTCAAGTTCCTCATTAGCAAATCAAGACAATAATAGTACCTTCATCATAGATATAATATGAGGATTAAGCAAGATAATATGTACACATTTCATGGACCCATTTGATAAATATCAGCTAAATACTGAAGTCATATGCATAAGAATAATATGGCTAAATTGTATTTATGACTTGCATTTACATACATAGAATCTATAACTTATTACCATTCACTAATTATATTGATTGCTGTCTTGAAATGCTGTAGTTTCTTCATTTCCTTTTTGTGATTTCATCTCAGAAATAATATTTTTCATAGTAGATCCCTTCTCTTTCTATTTCTTTTTCTCAAAGAAATACTATGTGACAGAAAGAGTAGGTCATGTAATTTTAAATTTGGGAGATGAAAAAGTACAGGTTAATATAACTCTTTAAAAATTGGAATTAAAATAAGTGTTAGCATTGGTTTAGCCAAAAGCATTATCAAGGGAAAAAACTATGATATCTTTAGAAAATGTAATGATAGGTATGCATTTAAAATTCCAAATAGTATAACCACTAATTCTTTTTGTAATGTATTCAAAGAAATCTAAATTTAGCCGTAATATTAATGATAAAGATTATGATTATACTAATAACAGCTAACACTTACTACATGCTTATTATATTTCAGATATTGTTTCAAATATTTTACATTTCTTATCTCAACTGATAATATCATGTGTGAGACAAACAATTTATGTTGCCCCAATTGCTCTCCTCTCTAGATCTCAGAAATTATCCAATCCTGTCTACAGGATGCAACATAAAATTGTTACTTCATTGGATTGGAAATGCTGTCCTGGATACAGTGGACCAAAATGTCAGCTAAAAGGTATACTCTAATATTAATTTCATAATAATAATTAGAAATATAAAAATTTTGATTCCAGTAAAGAAAAGAATTGAATTTTCCCTTTAGTTCACATGTAACCAGACTACTAGTAGCTGTTACAGCACCCTAAAATCTCATAATTTATTCTTCAACTTCTCCCCCTATTTTTATGTAGGTTTTATATGTTGAGTAAATAGAGATTAGACTAAATATCTTACTCGTACTTAACTATATGTTATAGAGTCATGTCTTATTAAAATATAAGGATTACTAATTTTATCTTTTAAAATAAGTTATTATGATAAGTGACTCTATGTAAAAATAAGTCTACCCCCTAGTTTGGTTCCAGTTCAGTTATTTGAAATAATGTGCCTATAAATGAAATTCAATGTTAAAGAATATACAAAGTATTTCATGAATAATTCTCCTTTTTTCAAATCCTAATGGAACTGTTTTTTAACCTAGATTTTAAGAGTTTTCTGGTGGCAGCGCTGATCAAACACATAGTAACCTGCTGTGGCCTAACATCCATGTGAATATTATTTTGCTTTTGGCTTTAAACAGATTTCCTTTGAAAAATAAGATATGGCATCAGCATACATATTTTAAATGAATGAATATTACAAGAAAAGCCATTAGCAGTGGTGGGGAATTCAATCAACAGTGTAAGAGACTGTGATTAAAAATTAATGTAAGCGTGGAGAAACCATTATGATTCACATTAAGGAAAAGAAAATCATAATACAAAAGCCCTAGGAATCTTGCAGTTAGGAATATTATATATGGTTTAGCTAGTAGGCAAATTTCACTGTAATGCTATTTGTTCTGTGTCTGGCCTGAATTTCAGAAATGTTATAAAAATTCAATACATTTTCAGACTATAGCGTGAATATGTATTCCATTTATAATCAGGTAAAATAAACTTTGAAAGTTTATAAATATAATCTATACTGGAAATATTTGGAAATGGGGCAATTTAGTATATTCTAAAATGATCTAAATATGGCTCTGCTTTCAAAGGACTTTTGATTCCCATGAAGTGCACAAATATATTCACAATGGTAAAACATATTTGTTTCTAGTCTGTATTTAGCAAGCGGTTAAAAGTTCTAGACAATATTAAGAATTATATTTCTAAGGTCTGTATTTCTCTTTTTATATGAAGAAAGATATCTTGGGATTATTAACTCCATTATTATTTATTGAATATTTGAGTGTTTGTTTGCAGAGTACTTTTCTAGAAATTTAGGATGTCATTGCACACCTTATTGCACACACGCGGCAGAATATAGATAAGTGTCAAGGAAGATAGTCTATAGGCCAAAGAATATCATGAGCTGCAGCTGATGAGGACGCTGTTGATCCATGCTTCGTCCTTTTACACGTCTAATCGACCTTAATCACTATGATGGACTATGTATACGTAGGAAGAAAAAAAAAACCACATAGAACTCCATCATTGTAAATATACACAAGAAACTAGGGCTAATTGACAGTTTTGAATATCGACTATGTACTGTCATTCACTTTTTTCAAGTATTATATAAAACATTTAAATCGTGTGTGAGTGGCCTAGCTTTTACTGTTTTATGACACCATGCATTCTAATTGAAAGCAACCTGTGATATTTTTAAATACGACATTTGCAAATTGTTGTCTTGAATTTCCACTGACAAAAATGTCCCAGAACAGTTCTGATTATGACCTTCTGTCACAATAGTATAATTGGAACTATTCATAATTCAGGTATCTGCTGATCAAGCTATTGTGAAAAAAATCTCTTTTCCATTGAAATCTATGGTGGGAGTAATGTTCTGATGACAGATATGCCCATTGTGTCTTGTTGTCAGACAATCAATTCTAATACAGCTTTGATTCTAAAGGAACCTCCTGTTGCTTCCTACTATACTCAGACCATCCTCCCTTTCACTTTTATTGCAGTACATGAAAACTGTTGAATTTTTTATTAGTGCAACTGATGCACCGGTAATATCAAGAACCAGTGTCCCTTTGTCCCTGGAACCATTCTTCATTATCTCTATCCTGGGGGGAGGGTTTCACATTTCTCCCTTCTAATACCTACCCAATTACATGCCCGCCCCCCCCCACACCTTTTTATCACACTTTATGTATGTGCCAACAATCTTTTATTCTTACACCGGAGAGAAAATTGTCTCCCGTATAAGAATAAACAGTGTTTGACAACCCTGTTCACACTCTCTCTTATGACAAGCTGCCTCAGATATGGCAAGAATAATCAGCTTGGCTGATCCTTTCTTTAAAGCTCTTCTGAGCCCTGAAGGGTTCGGAATAACTTGGTTATGTAGCTTCCATGACAATTACTTCAGTGCTAGTTATTCAAAACTTCAGATTATTTATTTATAGGAAATTTGTAGAGTACCACATAAACTTCACAAATCTCTTCTCCACCAAGTTTCGTTCTCAGAAACAAAATTAATTTCATAAAATAAAAATAACCATTTTTTAAAATTTAGATTGTAGTAGGAAGATCTTTTAAATGTACAAGAAACATCAATAGAGAGGAATAAAATGAAGCTGTTTTCTACCCGTTTTTTTTTCTTTCCCCCACTCTGCAGATCCATCCTCAAACTGTTAGAAAGGGACGTTTGACTTAAAGTGTATGGGGCAATTCTCTCTGGTGTCTTATTCCACAATATGCTGATCTTCCACACATGCACTTTAGCTGTAATTTAGACAATCAAAGTTCTGGTAGTTATAGTTCTAGATTACCTTACTAAAAAATATTAATTGTACTATTGAAAGGAAACCAACTTTTTTTTTTCCTTTTTGTCTTTTTTACTGACCGGTAACGGGATCGCAACCCTCAGTGTCGCGCCCGTACCGGGGACCTGCAACGGGATTGCAACCCTCGGTGTTGCGCACGCACCACGCTCAGCCAGTGAGCGGGAACCGGTCTCCACATGGGATCCGACCCCTCGGTGGGAGCGCCGCTGCGCCCCCAAGTGGCGCACTCTCCAGTGCGCCACTGGGCCAGCCCGGAAACCAACTTTTTGAAAGCCTGAGTGAATAGAATTTTATTGGGAGATGGCAGTATCTCATTAGTTTTTATAGCTGAGTAGTATTCCATTGTGTAGATATACCAC